TTATGGGCATTAATACCATCAGCGTACCAAAGTGTAATATGGGCATTACTGCCATCCCAATTCTATAATATTGCAAGGAAATCAATATTCATTCAGGTCTAAGAAAAAGTAGGATACGCATTATACCTGAACATGTCTATGATAAGTGCCGAACCTGCAACTGAGTGTTGAAAGGCTTCGGCCTGTTTTGACTGCAGCCGTTCTTTCCTTAGCACCAAAAACACTGGCGAGGCCAGGGATTTTGCACACAACAACGTACGTGAAAATTAATCAGGGTAGTCCCGATTGACCGATGTCATGTATGCACAGTTCGGATCGCGTGCGGCACGTTGCACTAAACTGCAAACACTACATTGCGGTGTTAGTTAAAATACTGCCACAATCACACAATTGTTCTGTGTGCATGAAAAACGTGTGGAGCTCTCGGTATACCGTGAATGCGTTGATGTGCACTTGTTCTAGACTAACATTATTGCATGGTACATTAAAATGCTTGGCTTGGGCATGCGCTGTTATGTTAAGTCGTTGGATAGGCCGGTGGGTGTCGCCTGTGATGCACTTGCAATCGTGCAGTGTGCATGGATAGAGCGGGCTGAGCCGCCAGTGCGTGGCAGGCCAGGCTGAGTGTACAACATCCCCATTATACACACAGTGCACGCACGCCCTGTATAAGCATGCATGCCATACATTTGGGTGGCGCTGCACGGTGTTCCAGTCGAATGTGAGCAGTCATGGAACGATGTGTATGTCGCTTTCCATGCCAATTTCCGTATACCTCACTGAACAGGGGCAGTCGATACGCACGTGTAAGGCACTACAGCCAAGAGAAAAAAAGGGCACTGGCATCTTGGTGGTGAAACATGCTCACTTTTCGGAGGCATCACGGCCAAATGGGAGGGCACCGACGGCCATGGCCGTCGTGGCCATCGGGAAATTCGAGGCCTGAACACAGCAGTTTGAAGGAGCTGTTATGGCAGAAATAATGCTGACCGACTTGTCACAGTCTTTCTTGATTCTGGAAAGGCCATTGGAGAAGGTAGAATGTACTCTGGCGTACTTAGTTATGTCAAGTTGACAATAGTGTGTGCTGCTTATATGGAACCTTGTGAAATTGTCACACCACACCCTTCGCAATCATTACTGTTGCTGGTTTGTTTGCCACCCTCTGCAGGTGACCTTTTACCAGCCGACGGTATTATCATTCAAAGTAATGACCTTAAGATAGATGAGAGCTCATTAACAGGAGAGTCGGATGCCATCAAGAAGAGTGTAGAAAGAGACCCAGCGCTTCTCTCAGGTATGTTCCTTGTGATCAAGAAAGTCATAGAGGGAGACATAATCCTCGACCAAGTGCCCAGCAACACACCTCTCCCCCTTCCACCCTTCCACTGCGACCCGATAATGGGAAACAAAGTGTCTGAATTCGCAATTTTGGGGGTTTAACTTTGAATGAAATTTAGTATTTTGTTGTCTGGCAGGCTGTCTGAGTTCGCAAAGCTTTTGGGTAACAACGCACTTTGTTCTGTCAGACATTGAATATCCAGTTTTCTGGGTACCTTAGGGTCTGGACCCTAAAGGTTGGCTTACATTGCACAGCCTGCATTACCTCTTCTCCATTCCAAACATGCGCAGGCACTCACGTGCTGGAAGGCAGCGGCAAGATGGTGGTCACAGCAGTAGGACTGAACTCACAGACGGGTCAGATCTTCTCCCTGCTCCTAGATGTCAAGGGTCAGAAGCCGGCGGAAGCCGAAGATGGTGTCGCCGACAGAGGTAATGTTGAAGGAAAGCGAATTAAATTCATCCTCAGAGTAGTTGATGGTCTCTGGTCCGTCTTCCCACCTGGTGGTGAATGTGCGCAAAGTCAGTGGCTGTGAAGTTGGCATTCTTTCCAGTCCCGTATTCATATGCAAAGTGCAGATATACGCAGTTCCTCTGTTCATGGCCTGGACAGTTTTTGCGTCGTGGATCTCTTACACTCTGAGAGGATGGGGCAGAGGGATTCCAGGCTAAAGCCCACCTGGGCGCAATCTCAGTCCAGCCAAGACTTAATGCCAGTGAGCCTGCCTGCCAAATTCAGATGTGTCTGCAGGCACATAGAAGCAGCCTTGGTCAAATTCCATCTGCAACCATTTGGTCAGCTATCCAGGGTATATATATTTTAGGGTACTGGTTGCCAGGCAGGCTCGTCCGGTGGTTGGCTGAATGGTTGCTGATGGAACTTTCGCCCACATTCTCTTGTAATTAACCAAACAAAGTGCGATGCAGAACCTCCACCTCTGTACGAGGGGATTGTGCTTCAACACCTGCCACCATTGTCACACAAGTATTTGTAACCCCTGCTTGGTTCTCAAGATTTGACCTTGTATTATTATCAATGGTTCCTGCACAGAACTATGCAGGATGGTCCTATCATCTCTGCAAACGCTTCATTTGAGATTGAAATTTATGTTGGAATGCAAGTGAAGTCGGCACCATGGTTCCCCTCTGAAGCCTTCTTGGCCCCTCCCCCTTGCAGCCCTCTTCCATCCCTTCCCCCTTTCCCATTTTTCCCGGTTAACCCAACCCGTCCGCACTCTCGCAGGCAGTAAAATCTCAGAATGGAAGAACAGGTTTCTTGCACATCGAGAAAGAACGCCCTGTGACCCACACAGTTCCTCTGACAAATGCCTTGCGGCCATCTCCGAGCTGGAGACTGAACCTGGTACTGTTGGTGCTGAGAGTTCCACGCAGCTATCTCTTGTCATTCATGTTGTTATTTTTTTCTTTTGGGGATCACTGGCAACACAATTTCAGAGGGTAAAACATTTGTTGAAAAATTACATCGAAAACAAGTCACAGCTGTAAAAATGGCCACATACGAGTACCTGTACCTGCTCATTGGGGGCCAATTTCATAGAGCTGCTTAAGCACTGAATTTGCTTAAGCACAAAAAACCTTGCTTAATAAACAAAGATTACCAGCTCAAACACTATGTGACTATCATGCTAACTAAAAGACAGGTAAAAACCATTCCAAAACAATATACATCACAAGAACTTTTGGCTGGTAACCTGATTTGTCAAGCAAGGTTTTTTCATGCTTAATTAAACAAATTTTTCTCTTGAGCAGCACTATGAAATTGGCCCCTGACCTACTAGTTCAGACGGTTATGTTTGTGCCATCTTCATCAGGTCAGGATCATGAGCATGCTGCCCAAACAGCAAAAAGAAGGCCTTTGTGACATTTGTGTTTGATGCCCACCCACCTGTACATGTACCTCATCGGCTCCACCTCATTCGAACCTGCAGTCGTGACAGGGCACAGAGATTTGCATGTAATTTCCAAAGTGTGATGCATCATTCGAAACACAGTTAAATCTTTTGTTCACAATCATGAAATGCTACCCCCAAAAAAGCACTGCACTGGTTGCATTTAAACCCGACTGCAACACTGACACTGTAAATATAGGTACATGGATGATTTCGCGGGAGGGGGGCTTTTTTCTTAGGGAAAAAAAAGGAGATAGGAAAACAGAAAATTTTCGTCCAAGTACTCCAGAGCTGACAACCCCTGTTGATGGCGCGTCAGTCTGTTTGTGATTGTTTTACCCCCCATCAAGAAAGGACTATGTTGTTCCCCTACCCTCAAAATCATGGCAGTGCCAAAGGTTAGTTGGTGTTTTCTACATGTGTAGAAGACAGTGATGCTTTTCCATAACTGTGCCATCATGCAAAGCAGTGGGCCTTGCCTTAGCCTGAATTCATGCCTCGACTGCGCTCGTACTTGCTGAGCAGTGACGAATTTTTCTGCAGCAAAGATTGGTTTCAACCATCCAGCTTACCACGCTATGGAATTCTCCTGTGAAGGGTGTGGTTGATTTGTGTCCTCCATGAATTTTGAAAAGGTCATTGTTTTTAACCCCCACAATTAATGCCCATTACAGATCTACCAAAGTCACGAAATGGAGAATTAGAAATGAAGAACTGTTACAAATTGCTCACTGACATAAATTGCTTGTACAGAGCTTGAGATTTAAAATCTTCTACCTTTTGAAAGAGTTTTGCTAGAGTGAGTCCAGCAAACCTACGGACTTTCAAAGTTTCCACACAGCAGCTCTATCACAATTAAACCATCTTTCTCAATCATATCCATCTGCAACGCCATTCTTTGTATTTGCATCAGAGCTTTGGCCTGTGTCCCAGATCATTTGAATCATTGTCTCTTTCAAGTCAACGGTTTTTATTTTCTAAATCTGTACCCTCTGTGGTCAAGGTGTGGTCAAAGTTCCAGCTGACGGCAACAACATTGACGACTCAGGAGCCGCGAACAGCCGCACAGCTAACCCGGAGAAGCAAGCTATGCTGCAGGAGCGAGAGGAGTCGAATATGATGGAGGGCAAGTCGGTCCTGCAAGGGAAGCTGACCAAGCTGGCTATCCAGATTGGCTATGCAGGTGAGGCTTTTAGCTCGTTCTCTTTAATCTAGGGTCATTGGCATACATCCAGTATTTCATTGAACCTGGATTATTATTGTTACTTAATTTCTGGTGGTGGCACCAAGGATTCTTCAACTGAGCGACCTTGGCACTGTAGCTTGCAAGCTAGAAGAAACCTGCTGAGAAGAGAAAGCAACCATAGTTTTAGAGATGGGAGGAAAACCCCAGAGGAGTATTCTGGATAAAACTCACGGAATCACACAGGGGCTGAAAACTCAATCCACCTGTGGACCGATCAATCCTGTTCCACAGAGACAGGAGGCGAGGAATGAGCCACCCATGCAATAACTCCCCGATGATTTGATGACCTCACTTTGAACGGTTAATCCTCCTCAGTGACCATTTCTGTTCACCGTCTAGGTTGTACCATAGCAGTGCTGACCACCCTGGTCCTGATCATCCGCTTCTGCATCGAGACCTACGGCATTGAGCAGCGAAGCTGGGAGACGGGCCACTTGCGGAAGTTTGTGGACTTCTTCATCATCGGCGTGACCGTACTGGTGGTGGCGGTGCCAGAGGGCCTGCCGCTTGCCGTCACAATCTCTCTGGCCTACTCAGTCAAGGTAGGCTATTCAAAAATCAACCCCAACTAGAGGTTTTTTCCCCTCGTAATCTGCCCTCCCTCCCCCCAAACAAAGTTGAAGTGAGCCCCTCATCAGCAAAAGATGAGACAGGCTAATGGGAAAGTTTATCAGCTGGGTTGGTGTATGTGTTTGTCATGTGCAGGGAGACCGTACACTCAAAACAGAAGGTGGTCATGTGTGCACAGCATGCGGTTAGGTCCCAACAAAGAATTGCCGTAGATATGTAAAAACTTTTTTTTTAATTTCCGAAGCTGCTCCGTGGTTTCTGCGGATGATGTCTTGCAGTCATTTTGACAACACTTTTATGAAAACCACTTGAAGCGATCTCGTGAAATGTGCATTTTTGAACACAGAAAAGTGACCAACTGCATACCTTTGCCATTGGCTGTATTGCCGTTGACAGTTAGGATTACATTTCCACTAATGTATTCATAACAGATGTCATTAAAAATTGTGGTGAAAATTGGTATTGGAAGTGGGGACGTTGGGAAGTTCACATTGGGAGCACAGGTGTGCCATGTACAATGTGCTTGTGCTCTACCAGCCCATCGAGCTTTCAGTTCATATTCTGAAAGATGGGAACGAAATATCAAGATCTGACACACCCCCCCCTGACATTTTGTTTGGATGCAGAAAATGCTGCATGACAACAATCTGGTCCGGCACCTGGATGCCTGTGAGACGATGGGCAATGCCACAGCCATCTGTTCAGACAAGACGGGGACCCTGACCACCAACCGCATGACGGTGGTGCAGGCCTACATAGGCATGGTGCACCACCACACTGTGCCCAACTATGACCAGCTGCACCCAGAATTGCTGCAGCTACTGGTGGAGGGCATCTCGGTCAACAGCAGCTACGCCTCGCGATTACTGGTAGGTGCATGTAGAGTAGGCTTGCGCGGCACTCCTGGTTCCGAGTGGAATCATGGTCCCCCCCCCCAAAAAAAATCGCCGGCTCCGCTTTTGTGAAGAACCGGGCACCAACCATTGGGGGTTCCAAATTCAAAGAGCCGACTCCAAACATCAAATCTGAGTCCAAGTTACTGCTAAGGCAGGCCTACCATGCCCGTTAGTGACAACTCAAAACAGCAAATCCGAGTCACCGCTCCCACCTACGGGCCTACCTACAACGCCCGCATGTATGTACTGTACATGTACATTGCACATGTACATGTACCAACTCACACGTATAAAGGATGCTGTACATTTAGCAGGGCACCTTTCCACACAAGGGAAAATGCGTACACAAATAAACTGTAAAATACTCTTGTGTCTGGGTACCAAACCACATTGATTATTGCATGTGAGGCAAGCGAAGTGCAGCCTTAAATTTGGCCGTTTTTCAATACTCAACTTCATCTCCGTCTTAGGCTTCGTCCGTGAAACCAATCCCTGATTGTGGGCCTGAAATGCTTAAATTAAATTGGATTACTGTAATTCTTGGCTCCCTTGCATCTTACTTGATGTTTTGTAGCACTGTTAGACTAATTAATGAGCTTACAGCTTCAAAGTCAGGTAGTAAAAAAAACAGTTGAAGCCTGAGAGGGAGCCAAATTGAGTGTTGGAAAATAAGTTTGACGGCCGGAAACTCAAAGACTGCTTTACACGTGACTGTGACTTCAACATTTGTGAATTTTGCATGGTATTTGTGTGTGACGTGTCTGTACTCTTCACATATAGGATACCAGGCAAAATCAATGAGAGGTTAAGAAATAGTCCAGCCGTTGCCTGAACTTGTATGAATGGTGCATCAGGCTCCTGGACACCTTGGCATACAAATCAGTCTATTGATAGGCAAAGCACAGAGTCAGTCCCATACATGGACCGGGGCAATGGTACCGCTTACAAGGTAGCGGACGTATCGGAGTTCGATGCGCCCACTGTGGACGAATGACCAGTTTATTCATGGGCCATGGCCATTTACGATACGCTGGCACATGTTCAATAAGTACATGTGATCCAGTCCACACATTACTAAAGTGCCATGGCATGGTCGACGATTCCATTTGTATATGGGTAAAGTTACATGTACTTAGGCAACAGCGAATCGGTTGTTTTTATTGGATTCTGAAATGAATATTCATGTACACTGAATGGAAAATAGTGCAGGAGGAAGCAGTGCTGAGTTGTACCATTGTTGTACATGTATACATGTACATGTTACAGATTTATTCCAACCATGACTGGTCTACACAGAGGCAAAAATAAAATCCAAAATACCCACACTGGATAATCTTAAAGCCCACTAAAGACCAAGAGCCAGTCTGTTTTGCCGTTCTTACGTGTGGCACCGGCGTGATTCGGCAGCAACAGATTTTTAATGTGTTTTATTAAGCCTTATGTTTTTCTTTATATCTTTGGGAGCCGGTTCTAACTCGGAATTTTTGGAGTCGCCCAAGCCTAATGTATAGTGCTGTGGTATGGTAGAGTGCTGTAGTCGAGACCACCACAAGACCAGATGCAAGACTATGCACAAGACCAGCCAGAAGACCGGTCACAAGTGATAGGGTGAACAAGGACCAAGGAATACTTCTGTGACAGTCTGTTTTTAGTAGCTTGTGACTTGGCTTCAGTCTAGAGGTTTTGCGTTGGTCTTCTGTTGGTCTTGTTTGATTGTGTGTCGGTCATGTGTTCGTCTTGTGATGGTCTTAAGGTCTTGACCGCCCAGGTATACCTGTAGTAGGCTTTGGTATTAGGAACATGCACATGGAGATACCTCAGAGGACAAGGGGTCGTGTTTTGATATTTTCTGTCCTGTCTGCAACTTGTACACCCTCACGGCGCTGAAGAGTCAGGTGGGGAGGGGGGATTTTTCCAACTGGGCTCATTCATGTGCCTAGTGCACATGTGGAGACCATACATTGACCAGAAACTGTTTGCATGTGTCCAGAAAGGCCTACGTCAAGTGTACACAAACCTGTGGAGAAGGCCCAGTGAAAAGCTGTCAAATTACCATGTGACCGCATGGTTTCCCCCACGATAGGTCACTCTTGCATAGAGTACCTGGTCAGGAACTGTTCACTGCACATTGGAAACGTGACAGTGGGACTCATTTTTTCTAGAAAAAAAAAATGAATTCATCATGGAATGGAAAAATAGTCTCCATTTGTGCCCCATATGGTATACAGTTTGTCATTATCATTTTGATCTAGTGCAGGATGTTGGCTCCCGGGCTTTGCCGTCTATTTTGCTATGTCTAAAGCCTTGAAGGCTTGCAGTGCCTACTGTGTAAATGCTGTGATTGGTACTAGGGTTCTCATCTACCAAAATGGCAGGTGTACATTTACAACATGTCACATGGGTCAGTGATTGTGTCCTGTGGGCAAATCCAAAGAGATGATCATTACTGTGGTGGAACCACACCCGTTCATGCTTTCTGGAGCACATGTTCATTTCAGCAATTCACAGGACGCTATTTATTGAAGAGGCTTTTATTGCATTGCTTACCACCAGCATGTGAGCATAGTAGTTCTGGCTTTCAGATCAGTCCGTAGACAACATTCTCCTTGTAAACCAACCATATAGAGTACCGAAGTGTGACATCAATGTGAACCAGAAAGTGCAGTGCAAACGAGTGGAGTACGCGCTCGTGTTGGTTCATGCACTGGTTCTTGCGCTAATGTCTTTCACACACTAAATGTGCACGTGACGTATTCACTTCAGTACTCCATACATGTACACTTTAAAACTTAGGAGACTGTGTCGGATCAAGGATTGACAAGTGAGGAAAGTATCAACAGACAAAGACTATGATCTCGTTGCGTGTTCTCAGTGCTAATGTATACATGTACAGTACCTGTACACAGTACACAGGACTTTTTGACATGCATGAAACAGTACCCATAAAGCAGCGTTGTCAATTACGTGTACCTTTAATTTGCTTTGTTCACTGCCCTTGGACGTTTCATGGACAGAACTCATTGCAACAAAGTACCATGGCATTTTGGACATGCATTTAAACAGAAAAGCTGTGCCGAGTCTTAAATGGGTCAAGTGAAGCAGTGCCTCTGTTGGAGACCCACGGTTTGCCAACTGTTAACAGCCTGAATGCATCTTCCATTCGGTGTTCAATCACCTTGGCTGTTTACTGAGGTGGGAGTTGCGCTTCCGTGACCTTGACTTTCATCCCGTCAACCCTGGGAGGAGGGTTGTCATTTGATCCGAGCTGCGAATCGCGCCCCGTGCAGCAAATCAAATCAGAGATTGTCCTAGCGTCTGAGATGAAATCTTGTTAGGGATTTACTGCGGGCTGAATGGAACAACCAATTTCTTTGAACCAATTATGTACTTTTCTTCTCTCTGTATTTTTGTTTTTTCACTGTCACGCACACTCAAGTTGACAAAACTCAAGAGAGCAATGCTTCTCGTCGTTGGCCCTCGTTTTCTTGGTTTCAGTCAATAAAAAGCTTGAGAAGTTAACTGATATACAGTATTTGGCAGGTCTATTTTATGCCTCAGCCAGATTCTAGGTGATACAACTGTGAGAGCGGTTGGTTCGAAAGTTGAAAGCTTCACTGAGAATATATGATCCCGAGTAGTAAAAAGCAGACCTGTCAACTAGTACGATTTAAGCCGCATTTTCTATAAGAAATTCTTGAAAATACGATCGTACATTTTCTCCCCCCATAAAATATGGGTTTTGACGATTTTGACACGCCTGAAAAAAATTTTAGTTCAGCGGTTGCGAGTTAACATTATGCTTGAAAAAAAAAACCAGCCGCAAATGTACATGTACACATACATTACGTTTGCACACCTACATGTACATATAACGGCACAATGAAAATGGACGTGCGTACAGGGTAAGCACATATGTGTACATACCTAATGTGTAAACACCATCCACCAACCACCCAATCATTGTGTTGTGAGTGGCCTGCCCATGAAATAGCAATGTTCATGTGTGCATTAGTGGGACTCTTTAAATCCGCTTGTGGAAGTAGTGACAAACAGTCTCCGATATTTTATGTAGCGCGCATTTCACGGCCACTGTAAATATGCGGCTTGAAATAAGGTTGGTAAATTTTCCGCTTTTGCCGATAGATAGAAGGCTTTGTGGCAACTGGTGCAGGGCAAAAGATTGTAATCGCATACGGAAATGAACTAATTTAAAAAGACCACAGATCCCCTTGTATTTGTCTCCCAGTGGGCTAATTGTGCATTTGTAAAGTTTTGATGGTGCTTAGGTCAGTTGAAATCCAACCTCGACATCATGGGCTGTGCGCATTCCTTCACTAGCCCCTGGTCACGTAGAGTACGAAAATGACACTGACTGGCTATTCAGAATGAATGTACATAAACATTAAGTCAAGCCCGCACGTATTTCAAAAGCTGCATGTGCATGTCACGCATGCATATACCTGCATCTGGTGTTCGAGTCCATCGCAAGTCCCTTCACAAACCCAGTCACAAGGCTAGTCATAAGTAACAGGGTGAACAATGACTATTGTCCCAGTTCATTTGAATAGCTTGTGAATTGGCTTAAGAATGAATGACGTGATGGACTTGTGATGGACTCGAGTACAACACTTTCTGCATCGTATGTGAGCACACTGACTAAAATCCTAATTTAAATATCCCAAATATGATGGGATGTTTAAATTATACAATACCAGGGGAAGGAGGTTGGTTGAAATCAGTCTGATTTTCACTGTTGTTGTCATAGAGGTGATTCTGATTTATTTGGGGTTTGCAAAATTGCCATTTCAGCCCCCAGAGAGGGAAGGTGAACTGGCCCGGCAAGTGGGCAACAAGACGGAGTGTGCTCTCTTGGGCCTGGTCAACGACCTCGCGCAGGAGTACCAGACCATCCGGGACCGGTGGCCGGTGGAGCGATACGTCCACGTCTACACCTTCAACTCCACCCGCAAGTCCATGAGCACCGTTATACCACTGGAAGGGGGCAGGTACCGGCTGTACTCCAAGGGCGCCAGTGAAATCATCTTGAAGAAGTGAGTTGCCTTCGGTTTTTAAAAAAAAAACTTTGTGGTCAAGGAAGCGGTGTGAAAATCAATGGGCATTCTATAAATTTGGGGTTCGATTTTTTTCTGTCTCTGTTTCATCTAGCATATGTTTTTTTAATGTTCAGAACTCATTCCAAGATTGAATAAGTACTGCAAATTACCTGCCAAACTAATAAAATTAGTTTCAGTGATATATCCTGGCTCAAAGTATACATGTCAGGGGTAACGGACAGAAAAATGTCATGTTGAACGCCAACATAACCCAAATGCATAAACCATAAATAAATGAAACAAAAGTGGTGATAAAAGCTTAACTTAAAAGATAACTTAAACCTGATAGTTCCAAATCCTTCAATTTAGTTGAGAACATTCTCTTGATAAAATTGGTCGTGACATTTAAAAATGAAAACCAAAGAGAAGTGAGACATTTTATTTATCTGGAAAATTGGTTTTTGAATCATTTTCTTTTATAGAGAAAAAAAACACCTGACAAAAACAAGTGAAAAGTATTCAAGTATCAGTTGTGTCCACTTCCTTGGCTCCACAGATGCACTAAGATCCTGGACCCTAAGAACAAGCTGCAGTCCTTCAGCTTTGCTGACCGGGAGAAGACAGTCAAGGATGTGATTGAGCCCATGGCTTCGGACGGTCTGAGGACCCTGGCCCTGGCCTACCGGGACTTCCCGGCTGGGGAGGACGTGGACTGGGAGCAGGAGGCCAGCGTGGTGTCCAACCTGAACTGCGTCGCCATTGTGGGCATCGAGGACCCTGTCAGACCAGAGGTGGACAGCCCTAAGTGTCTTCATAATTTTTTCCCCCTTTTTCTTCTTGATTCCTTGGGGTTCTGCAATCTTGACATCATGTCTGTCTCAACATCAGCATAATGTGTTTGGGTTTTTCCCCTTTCATTCCCTACCAAGATGTAATTAACGGCTGTCTATAGACAATGTGGTGTACTGTATTGTAGTTGAGTCCATCACAAGTCCTTGTGGGTCCCTGTGAGTCTGTCACAATGAGTAGTTCACACGGAAGGTTGTAAATATTTCAGGTTTTAGGGTAAGAAATGCTTGACAGAAGCATCCCTTGGGTCATCGCATACTGGTGCCTTCTTGCATGTTTCCAGTGACCAGGTTTAATTTGACGTTCTTGCTTCGTTGTTTCGTTTACACATAGGTACCCCCGGCCATCACCCAGTGTCAGAAGGCAGGCATCACAGTACGGATGGTGACAGGGGACAACGTCAACACAGCGCGCTCCATCGCCACCAAGTGTGGCATCCTCACGCCGGGTGAAGACTTCTTGGTCTTGGAAGGGAAAGAGTTCAACCGAAAGATCAGGGACCGATTTGGCAAGGTAGAGTTAGCATCAGGATACTGGACCATCTCACGGCCAGCTGGCCCATGGCCAATCTTTTGAAACTTGGCATGTATCTGAAGGCATCCAGTTGGGAAAAATTATTCGTGTTGATGCATCGTTTAGTTCGCCATCCTAACAAAAATCTTGTGAGAGCAAAGTGATTGGAGTTTCATTTTCGATTGACTTCGTGAGAGATTCTTTTTGAAGGCCTTTAAATCCAAAGTGGCTTTGGCAACTTGTGACTCAGTTTGTTAGGCTGTCGCATCATACGTACCTGAGACCCTTCACGCACTAGTGTTTTCCGTGGTTGGCGGGCCATCTTTTGCAGGTGCAGCAGCGTCTGCTGGACAAGATCTGGCCCAACCTGAGAGTGCTCGCCCGGTCCTCGCCGACGGACAAGCACACCCTGGTAAAGGGGATCATCGACAGTAAACTGTCGCGCAACCGGGAGGTGGTGGCGGTCACGGGTGACGGCACCAATGACGCGCCAGCGCTGAAGAAAGCCGACGTGGGCTTTGCCATGGTGAGTTTATATTAACCTCCTTTGCGAGGCCAGAAGTGCTTTAGCTCTAGCCAAGGGCTTGAGTTTGATGAGTGGAGCCCCCCATGATTTTGACCCTCTTCTGACCCAGTGCAGACATCCAGTTTGTACCTCAGAAACAACCAACTGTCCAAAGTGACACCAGCGTTTCGAGACTTGCTAGTTGGATCTTAGACGAGATCTCACAAGACAGAGCTCAAAAGAATTTTAGCATTAGTAGTTGGTGCCAATAATTCGGGACCTGGTTAGCAAAGCTGGAGACAACATTCAGATTTGAAAATGGTTTTTAGATACCTAGAAAGGCTTGCATCATGACTTGTGGCCTCGTCTGAACTTGAATTTGTTCCAAAATTTTTCTTCTCTGTTTCTTTTTGCTCTGCTTTGTGGGGCTGGAGTAAGCATGCCAAGGTTTGTGTTAAGTTTCGTGGAGAGAAATAGTGGTTATCTTCAGAGCGTTTAAATACATATTAACCCCTTCGCTACGGCAGACTGCTACTACAACACCTTTGTGTGAGCATTAGTGAATACCACACATACAGTCTATTCACCATGCAGCTGCTGGTTCAATGGGGCCTGCTGCTGGACAAAGCCCTCCATTCATGGCATGCCACAGCCCAGCAGTCGCGGTGAAAAGATTAAGATGGAGTAGACAATGGCCTAAGATATAAAGAGTCAGCCATCCTGGGAGAGCTTTGGGGAAGATGACCAGGTGGCTCTCACTGTCAAGTCCTAGTATTCATCTTGTTCTCTTTTGGCATTAGGGAATCGCCGGCACGGATGTGGCCAAGGAGGCCTCCGATATCATCCTGACGGACGACAACTTCAGGAGCATTGTCAAGGCTGTCATGTGGGGGCGCAACGTCTATGACAGTATCTCCAAGTTCCTGCAGTTCCAGCTGACGGTCAACCTGGTGGCTGTTATAGTGGCCTTCACGGGGGCCTTTTTAACAGGGGTAAGATTCCTCCGGATATTTAAAAAATCCGTTGAGGGTTGTGCGAATTTTTTCGGCTTAACATTCTTGGTGGAATTATTTGTGAAATAAGATTCACAAGTGACTTGGTAAAGTCTAGTGTGGTAATCAAGAAGTACACAAAGCTATGTTCCTCCTCTGAAATACTCTGGTCTGCACATTGGGTATATGAGGGAGTGGTAGAAAAAGTAATGGCAGAGTGGGGCGGATTGTGTGTTCCCACTTATATACGGGAATGTGTACACTGGGTCCAGAACTTAAGTGTGAAACATACCGGCAACACATGGCATGCACGTGTTATTGCAGCAAAAACATGGATGCCGTTTTTAGTTTTGTACGTACATGGGGTAGATTCCGTACAGAAATATCAGTTGATTTGGGGAATGTTTCATTCGTGACTCTCGATAATTTGGCATAATGGCATATCAAATGATTGATGGGGACCTATCTGTTGAAGAAAGAGCCCCAAATCTGTGAAAATTTTCATGGTTTGAGACGGAGATGGATTGTGAACATGGTGAAGTGACGAAAGTGGAAAGGGCAGACAATATACAGAGATTTCCTCGTAAAGATTGAGACCTTTGGGCCATGTTTGGACTCTGCAAATGTTTGTAGTGTGAAAAGTTGATGTGATGGAGGCCTTTTTAAGTGTTTATAAACCATGTGCAATCATTTGAATTTCTTTTTAAACATTGAACAAATACACAACTGCTGCAAACTGCTTGCTGACTACAGTGACCTGAAATACAAATCACAAAATGAGGAAGGCCTGACGTTTCGATCCTAGCAGAATCTTTCTCTAAGGCAAAAAAATGGAACTCCCTACGAGTGCACAACGTACATGTACACATTCAAAATCATGCATAAAGTAGGATGCATGAAATGTACATGTACATGTACGCATGTTATAAATATGCACACATACATGTGTTAATGCAACAAAACCTGCATGCCACCATGTGTACGTACATGCGTAAGTATGTGTACATGTATATGTGTATAATTATGTACATGTACATACCAGTATATGTACATGTACAAATATATCAACCGAATTCATGGAGTTTTCGTTGTGGTCTGGTCTCACCCCTGTTTTAATAAGGGTTGGTATTTCTCTAGTGACCCTTTTTGGGGAAAAATGTGACCATATGTCAAGGACATCATAGGAAAAGAACGTCAGTGGATACCAGGTACCCTGTTCATCTCCAATCTGTAAAAAGCGCACCCTGACACCTTTCTCTTCTGTCTCCCCTGCCCTTCACCGGCTCGCCTATTCACCCTCTATCCCACAGGACAGCCCCCTGCGCGCCATCCAGATGCTGTGGGTCAACCTCATCATGGACTCCTTCGCCTCGCTGGCGCTGGCCACAGAGTTGCCCACCCCGGCCCTGCTCTGCCGTAAGCCCTACGGCCGCACCAAGGCCCTCATCTCCAAGATCATGATGAAGACCATTGTGGGCCACGCTGTCTATCAGCTGGTTGTTATGTTTGTCATTCTGTTTGCTGGTGAGTCTCGGGTTGTGTTTTTTTCCCCCATCTCTATTTTTTCTTTAATGTTAGCGCAGCAACCGATAGTGATAAACAGGAGGTATGATTTGCCATTTTTTTTTTCTGGATTCCGGGATTTGTAACCCGAATTAAGAATTTTGAACATGAGCATTTCACAGATGTATACCCTCACCACTGCCTGCAGTGCCTGCCTGTATTTGTTGTGTTGTCAGTGATGCCAGTGTATTCAATTTACAATATAAAAGCCTGTATTCCCTGTGAGTATACTCTTAATGGCAGAATCTGGTACACCTGTTATGAGTCCACTGGTAGTTGGCAGTCATCGTGTTAACCCTCCACTCTTAGGTCATTATTGGCATGAAAGAATCATGGAAATTAATATTACACAGGAAGCCATAGAGCATCGGATTTTGGAACTCGGGTTCATTGCACTGTTAAGCTGACAGTGTTTTGGAGCATTGACTGAGTGAACAAATAGCCTTGAAACCGGTGTCTTGAAATGTAAGGTACCGGGCATTCCTACTTTTGGGCCAAATCCAGTCGAGCTTCACCTCCATGCGGTGTAGCATTTTGCTTCTGTTGGTTATGCAGATGTTGGTTATGCCGAAATCGGCACGTAGGAACTGGGCCTTCTAACAAAAGACTCAAACTTGGAACAAAAGACCGAGCTGCTGGGAATTGCCAACAATTTTTATATGCTGTCGGCACAGAGTGCTGGCATAAGCTGGAGATAATCCGTCATTGTTTTGAAACAGTGGCCGCGTCTGAAACAGGCTTCCAGAGCTACGGCTAGGTCTATTGTCTACGTGTCACCACACATTTCCAATGAAGCGAAGACCTAGACCTAGCTCTAGACAACAGATTCGGATGCAGCCAGTATACCATTGTTTGCTATCCAGCAACGCACTGGGCCAATTTTCTGAACAAAGGAAATTACGCAACACTGCACAATGTCTGCTGTCTTTACTGGGCGGCAGGCCTGGCTGCAATACTCAGGTGTCAATGGAGGTTGCCTGTCAGATTAGACAAGCCACCAGACAGTCATTCGTTTGGGTGTATGCATCCAATAAATGGAGATATGAATTTTTGAAGAATTGTGAAAACAGAAAATCATGAAAATTGGCTGCCAGTGCGTCCATGCATGGGCAAACTCCAGCTGGCATGAAGTGGTTGACGTCCCAGTGAGGAGAAAGTCTGTAAGTATCAGAGAGGACCCTGTCTCTGTAGTTTGATGGGGTAAACATTTACTTGAACACCACGATGAGCATGCTGTCACAGGCGACCAACCGGAACTTTTATATAAATCTGGTTTGAGTGTACGTCTCATTTTCATCTGAACATGCACAAAATGTCTTGCATCTGCATTTGCCCAGGTGGAAAGTGGGAATTACCATATTTTTCTCTGTCAGGTTGATGAAGGACGGGTTTTCTTGAGCATGCAGTGACAAGCCTGCTTCAAACGTCAGTCGAATGTGACGTCTGCAAAGACCTTGTTCAACTTTTGCCTCTTTACCGCACAAACAGTTGATCTGACGCCGCCATATATTGCATTTGTGTCCACTTTTGTACCAAGTATGAAGTGGCCCTAATGCATGCTTGTGATCAAAGTCAGCCAGAGTCAGTGTTTTTTTGTCTTTGCAGGCCCCTCATTATTTAACATAGATGACGGCAAGATAGCCACGGATTCCACGGGCCACCCCTCGGTGCACTTCACCATGATCTTCAACACGTTTGTCCTGATGCAAATCTTCAACGAAATCAACGCGCGGAAGGTGCACGGCGAGCGCTCCGTCTTCTCTGGGATCCTCACCAACCCGGTGTTCCTTGTCATCATCATCGGCACACTAATAGTGCAGGTGGGCTTGCTCGAGTTTTAAATGAAACTCTGACCCCCCCTTCAAATTCAGTCCATTTTCCCAGTTGTGTCAGTGCAGTTCACTTAATCGTACCCACTGCATTCAAGGACTTTTTCTAGAGTTATCGTAAAGGCAAAACTCAACTCAGGAGGGTGCGGTTTACCATTTACGTGAGGTCAATAAAAGTCAGTAGGAACCCTGGATATTTTTCTCATGCATGATCATTTTCTTCAGCACGCTACTCTCAGTGATGCATAAAAAACAAAGATCTGATATGGATGTTGCAATGTAAACTGAAACAACAGTGAGTCAAGTTGGCATTAGGGGCCTTGGTTCACCATCCACCTGTGCACCCGGAGGTTCAAATCCCGGTAGGCCAGCAAGTGGATCGGCTTTGCTAGTCCCTACCCCACCCAACTCAGTAGGATTTTTCCCTGCAATAATTCTCAGGGGAGTTTCCCTCCCACCTCTGATAAACATTGCTTCATTGCCACCAGAATTCATGTTGTATTAGGCGCTTGAGCTGTCGGCCAAATAGTATTTAATAAATACAATATAAATTAATTGAAACAGCGGCTTTTAGGACTCATTTTGTGTGGTCCAGTCACTTGTTTAATACTTGTAATTCATCATCCATGCCTTGTTTGTTTTATTTAAAATCTGCATCAGGTCTTGCTGGTCCAGTTCGGTGGCATCATCTTCAGCACCTCGGGCCTATACTGGGACGAGTGGGGCTGGTGCCTGTTCTTCGGCATGGGCTCCTTGCTCTGGCACCAGGTCATCCTGACGGTGCCCACCCACTGGCTGCCCAACCTGGCCTACGGCCGGGGCGACGCGCCAGAGCAGCTGCCCAGCGTGACGGAGCTGGACGACATTGACCGGGGCGGCGACTCGCGGGTGGAGCTGAAGCGAGCACAGATCCTCTGGATGCGGGGCCTGACCAGGCTGCAGCAGCAGGTGGGTCTTGTTGCTCCCCGGGGGACCAGATTTGGGGGGTTTTCCCCCCTTCTTTCTGTCTGTTGTCTATTTTTTCATTGATGATTCGTGCCTCGTACATCTCTCAGCGCGTGTTGTCATGCACTCAAACTGTGCTCAGAATGACAACTATACTCTTTCACCACTACATTTTACTTTTTTGCTTTATTGAGGAGTTGAGAGTTAGTTGTAGCACTCAACATGATCAGAATGTCAACATTGGTGGGAGAGCTATGAGAGATTATGTATCACATTTCAACATCAAGTTTATTTCACTTGCGCGTGAGAAGTGAGAAATTAGATGACTTCTGGACTGTTTCTCTTTTTAAGTGAAACATCTTTAAGCAACTTCATCGAGCAAGAAATATTTGTGTCAACTGAAATTTACGGCACCGAAATCCCAGTGTTTGAAATACATATGAATGTAATTTTACACTCAATTGTGTCTACGCACGCAAACAGTAGGTGAATCACACAAATCTTCATCAGTCGGTCGTTTTTCGTGTGCACATGTGCAGTGTTAAGTTGTCAACTGCAGCTTCTGTCTCTGTAGTCAGATCACAGCGTATTTACTAACGTTGCACTTACATAGCACACACTTTGTACGACGTACTTTTTTTTATATCTCAGGCTTTTTGTCCCCGTTTGCCTTCAAAGCGTGGTTTCTTGTATTTCTTAACATTCTGAGTGTGTTCCTTCGTGTTTGATGTTTCAGAGAAGTGATTGTGACCGTTAAGACAGATTCTCAACGTGTCACATCCGTAATATATGTAAGGACCATTCACTGTTTGATGGTGGGCAGTGCCCTCATGAAGGAAATTAAAAAGAAAAAAGTCAAAACGGAAAGTGGTTTTTTTTTAGTCTCCTGTCTGTGAAATAAACTTCCTGGAAATGGAAGGCCGCAAAAAAGCTTGACTTTCAGTGATGCATTACTAACTAGAATGAATTCCCTCCCACTCGTCATTTGGCCAAACATCAAAACATTTAGGCATCTGGTGGCTAGTCTTCGATGCGATGATGACTTCATTTTGTAGTTTGTGTGTGTTATTGTAAGTCGTTGAACGTTGTCGTACATGTCCGTTGTTAGTAAATTTAGAGTGTGTGGTTACAGTGTGAGATGTCATCCATGTTTCAATGAAAACTGTATTGTTTTGTATGGACTGCCATGATTGTCACTAAAGGTCTGGTTTGTTGTCTTTTTGGCCATCTAAAAGGTGCAGTCGAGTTGTTTTTTTTTCCCAAACCATTGGCTTTGTCAAATTTATCGAAGTCTGGAAATGCACCAGTCCTCATAACATGTACATGCAGAACAGCTTTCAGAAATAGGCAAGACCCAGTCCTTTTGATGTTGCCTGTCAATATCCTGTGAGCATAATTGTTTCGGAATTGGACTCAAAATGTGTGTCATTTATGAAACTGAAATGGTCCGTACGGCGTCTTTTCAAATGTGTATTGTTTGTGTGGTGTGACATTTGAAAGGTGACATGTACATTGAACTGTGTAGCTTGTTATTCGATGCCCGGCTGAGGTTTTGTTACATGTATGCGTGTCCCCTCGGTTTTTCCGGATGTTCTCTGATGACCGTTGCCTGACTGTGCTCGGGAAAACCCAGGCGTCGGTGTCTGTCCCGTATCGTATCTGGAAAACGTTGTCCACGCTGTCTTACTGGGCACTTTGTGGGCCACTCTTTTTGACGTTGTGGTTTGTTTTTTTTTACTCCTCCCCCTCTACTCCGATTTTTGGGTTGTTTTTTCCTCCACGCTGTCCTATCCTTGGTGGTCAATTTGCGCTGGAAGTCCCGTGCTGTGAGTAGCATAAACTGCCTTCATCTTCCCTCCTCTTGCTGTGATTGGTTGTTGTAAACTGTTGTTGACTGGACCCAGCACGAGAGAAAAGAATTTCTGTTTTTTTTTCCTTATTTTTCTGTGTCTGGACCAATCCATCCCATTTTTTACCATTGCTGGCTGCCCCGTGCTCATTCGTTGGTTAAAATAGTCACCCATCATCAAAATTCATCGCATTTTGCTTCATCCGAGCTCACTGGCACATAACATCACGAACAGTCATGTCGCGATCATTGACAGTTGTGCCGTCGAGCTTTGTTTGTTTGTTTCTAGCGTGTACTGTTTATTTTCAGTGTATTGTGGTGGTTCTATCATTCTTCAGCTGCAATTGTGTTGTGTCTTTAGTTGACTGTTGCATGGGATTTTTGTTTCTTGTTCTTTTGTCGTTGCTGGGCTGATTCACACAATGTAGGATCATATACGATCCTTCTTCATGCCCATTAATGTCACCATGTGCGTGTACTGTATACGTGTGTTCATGAACCACATTGTGCAGGCAGTTATGTGAACACAGTCTTGGGACTAAGGATTAGTGCTGTGCAATTCCATGGCTGAAATTCGTTAATAAACCAATGCAGGAGCACTCAAACTGATGGCCCATCATTCTCAGGGCACCTGTTGGTGCATGTATTTTGAAGGAGACAGCCCCTCACATGCTGAATATTCGCAGCACACCGGGTATGACATCTACTTAAGGCCAATCTCTTGTTTTTACCCTGTTTGAATATTTAGAAGGCCTCACCCATATTTCACTGGGTTAACAAGCACATCAGAACCCTATTGGTTGTTCACATATGCCACTGGCATGTGCCTTAGGGATGCTGATTGGATGATGTGTTGCTTCACTCATAGCTTAATCCAATCAGATTGACTGAGTAATAAGTGGTTAATCTGTGCCGCACTGAATGTTCATGTATGGCCAAACACCCAGTGCAATGCATTTATCCCACACATGTCGAGGATGTACCCATCATGCTAAACATCGATGGCTACATGAATTTTGCAGTCAAATAACCCATTTGATGGGGTTGCTGATGGTTTGAAATAATTGTCAAATAGGGTCCAACTAACAGAAAAGCCACAGAAGGGAAGTATCGGCAGTGTGTTTTCAAGGGAGTGTAGACTTTGTCCAGTGTGCAGTCATACGGAAGATCAATTAGAAGTCGCATTCTAGCTTCTCAAAATAAAGAGTTTCCCGATACTGTGTGATAGTAATTGAGTTTGAAAACAAAAGAATCTTCACTCACGAAACCGAGCTGCCAGTTGCCGAGAAATACAGTGTAGCGGGCACTGAGAAAGGCCCGGAACCAGCACTAATCCATCCAGTTGCCCCTTCCTCCGTTGGTATTGCTGTCATGTGCATAGGCCTGCCACTGGATGAGTGTGTGCCTCCTCAGTTTGCAGTGTCTTCTTCTCCCACCCCCCCTTATAAGCTGTGGGTAAAGGCATGAGAATTAAAACTGTACAGGTCTGTGTCCTGACAAACCCCTTGCCATCCCAGTGCAATCTCTGCTTGTGATCTGCCCACGATATTTTCTTTCTGTGAAGTTGCATTACTTGCCCTGTTTTTCAAATAGGATTTCAGCCGGTAAAATAACGCTGATTTTTGGACCATAAAAATAGATTGTCCACAAATTGTATCTGTTACTAGATTGAAAAAAAAAATTGGTTTTATTGTTGTGGAAATAAGTTGCAGAAAGAAAGGGAAAAGTAAAAGCAATTTTTGCAACTTGCCCTTGCATTAGCACTGGACTAACTGTGTGTATTTGCCCTGCATGCACAGTGCTTATAGTAGTTCATTTTGCAGGGTATCCACACCGACTCGTAACGGGCGATTGGTGAAGTTACGTTTTTCCCGAACTCCCTTTCAGGCAAGATCAAGCCCTCCCCGTCTCCCTTCATTCAAATTGAACAGCACAAAAATGTGACCAGATTCTACAGATGTCAGTCTTTGTGTGATTTCCATTTGTGCATGCTTAAGAAAAAAGAGCATTTCTAGGCTCTTTATTTTGTTTTCTACTTTTCTGTTGGGGGAGGGGGGAAACCTGTTAATGTTAACTGTGCAAAGAAAGAAAATTTGCCCTAATTACTCATTGACTCTGTATGATTTCTTTGACTTAATATGCAATGTCAAAGTAAAAAGGCCTGTAGCCAATAAATTCAGCAGCGACAAAATTTTCTAATGGGAGTCAGCCGGCAAGGGCTTGGAGAATGCCGGGAGAAATGTTGCTAGTGGCTAGTAACTTGATGGCGTCAACCTAGATGTCAGCACAAACAGTGCTAAGGGCCTGCAGAGCGTAATCTTCTGTCATGGGAGAGCTGCCGTTATTTTCACTCTCGGTAGCTGAATAGAAATCATGGTTACTGATACATTTACGTCACACAAATATCCCAAATTCACAATGCAACCCCCCAAAAGAGAGAAAAGACTGAGATGTCCCAACATTTGCAGCATGCGTTTGAGTTGGGAACATGCAGGGCATATACACTGGCGATTTGAGATTTGGGGCATCGTTAAGGCAGCAGCTGTCACACAGAGTCACCTGACAAATGAGAAATTGATATAGAATTTTTCTCACCTTCAAATAAATTTGTTGATTAGGCACTAGGCAAGGAGATCATTTCTTGTAAATTTTTTAGTGTTTCAGTACTTGCATGGCATAATTTGTCATTACTTTATGGACATGCTGAAGTATTTTGACCCATTTGTACATCTTTTATTTCCCTTATGTAGCTTTTCTTTACACCATTTTGTCACGGCGGGTTTTATGTGGGGAACTGTTCTCGAAGCAAAGTAAAAAGGATATGTTTCTCGGCATTTTGTCCATAATGGTCGCACCCATTTAGCATGGATAGGGTCTCATTTCGTTGTCTGCAATTTCCTTCAGCGTACACACCGTCAATGTTTTCCTTGCTCAGTTTTAATGTGTTCTCTTTGCTTATCTTGACCTTTGACCTTAAAACGTCCCTTATCTGCCTTGTTCAAAAACTTGGCAACTGTGTGTAAAAAGGTAACGTAATCTTTCTCAATCTTGCGTATGCTCCACTTGTGCACCCGACACACTCCACCACCACTCGGCCCCACCCCTTCTGGAGAAATCAATGTGCATGTCGTGTTCAGGATTTGAAATGGCACTCTGATCCCGAGATTTTACAAAGCCATCAATACTACTGAGAGGTTGAGAAATACCCCACTCCAGTGACAGTTGGATGACCTTGTAACCTGTATAATTTCCTTCCGTACTTACCCTAAACAATTGTAGTGTACCCCAGTCCTCAGTGCACTTTGAATTTTAAGTCTATCCAAGCCACATGTATGTTAAAAGACAGATTGATCCTATGTACAGTATGGTATCCTGCCCCTGTCGTATACACCAACAGAACTTACAAGTTGACCTGTGCAAGTTGTGGCCCTGTCTTGACCTTCTGTTTGGTGACTGGTAACCCAATGTTTATACACTGGTTAGCATAATAGCCCCCCTCCAAATTCAACCCTGATCTGGTAATTGTATGGTGCCCGGACTTCACATACTCAAAACATGTGGTAACTTTGATCCCACTTGAGCAACCAAAGAAAACAAAAAATACTGTGGTGAAAGACGTCAAAGTCAGTGACCCCACATAAACATAAATAGTCTGTCCAAGTCATGACCCCAAACTCCACACTTTGCACCCCTTCTCTACAAAGATGACACAGTAAGTGTTGTCCAGCCCCCACTTCGTCATGTCTAAGACACTGTTTAATTTTACTTTTAATTTTTAGTTCGTTATTTCGGGGGTAAAGTTACCTCCCCTAGTGGCATACTGCAACTTACATGTGATATGCAATGATTGTGCATCCTGTTTGCATAATGTAGTGCACATTTGGGCTAACACTCCTCAGATTTTTTTTTTCCAAGAGAAATGCAAGTGCCACTTCCATTTTTACATATGTCACCAACTTGTGTTTGAGCTTGCAAGCTATTGAATGTTGTTGGAAGAGTGTTCTGAGTTACTTGGTTCCACAGTGTTTGCAGAGCACTTGATGCAGGAACTGCACTTTCAATGCTCTTCTTGCACACTCTGGCTCATTTGCTGAAAAGGGTTTGAATCCTACTGATGACTAAGGCAGTTGCTTTTCTCTACTGATAGCCTACACAGAAGTGGGTTTCATATACATGTTTGAACAATGGTGAAAAGCCTACACTCCACATTAACGATTCTTGTACATTGAGATGGTCATTGGTTCCATGAGCTGCGGTCCCTTTACGCTAGAAACTAAAATTTGATACATTGAAGGATGCTCACACATGCCGTCAGTTTCATAGAAGTGCCCTCACCTCTTTCTGTTTTTTTTTTAGAAACAGTCCTGAACAATGCCCTCAATGGCTCCTTCACAAAGGCAGACAGTACCCGAAAAATAACCAATCAGGGTTTGGATCGTGTGCAAAGCACTGACTCGACCATACACTTAGACACTGGGCTTTTGAATAAAGAGTATCAAAATGAACGGGTCATTTGAATTTGGGAATATTTATTAATTTAACCCCAAATGCCAAGACGGGTCTCGCCAGGGGACCTTCTTAAATCCATTGCCATGCAGAAAATGAAGGTAGCACATTCATTGGGGACACACTCCAACTTTCATGGCGCATCTAGCCCCATTATAATAAGCAACAGTGGCCCCAGTTCACTTTTCACTTCCTTCCTAAAAAAAAAATTGTCCAGAACCTCATGGATTGTAGAGGATCTTAGACGGTTTGGGTACATGTATGTTGGAGATGAAGCTTCATTAGATTCGCGTTTTGACCATGCATGCATGAGCGGTTTGTGTGTGTCACCATTTGATCTCAAAATCAAGCTGTGCCCCTCCAACTTGCCTTGAAGCCCCAACACACACTGTTGTACCTTCCTCTGAGTGTGATAAACTAGCAAATGTCATCATACTTGCATCCCTAATTGTGTTTGGTTTGGGAGCATGCATTGAAAAAGTATAATGACGGGGGTTGCACTTAACCTGTGGGGTTTAAACCCTTGACTTTAAACATGTTCAATGTTTCCTTAATCTTTCCCTCCCTGTGTCTGAATTCTCCCAACTCTGGTTTGAACGGTCCCGTTGAAGTTGATCCCTCCTCTGTCTTTAGGGATTATTCTTGTCTTCTTTTTTTCTGTCCATTACTAATTTCCAGTTTTCTTGTCTTCCTGACTTTGAGTCTTTGTGTTTTTACTGTCCGTTACCACTTTGCTTGAAACTCCCCACCCCCCCTTGTGTATTCCTGATGTTTCACTTATATGTTGACATTTTTGTTCGATGTGTTTTATTTGAGATTTTTTTTATACCTAGTTTGTTTCTCTGTCTTATCCTTTTGTCCGCCCTCAGTCACATGGGCCATTATTTATTTTTTTCATTTCACCATTTTTGTACTCTTCCTTCCTCCTTGCCCCCTTCAGATTCGAGTTGTCCATGCCTTCCAGTCAGGGGTCAATCACCGGATTGAGCGCAAGAGCCTGAGCAACTCCGTCCACGAGTTCATGGCGCCCCCAATGGACGAGTATGACATCGAGCACACCAAGAAGGATGAGGATAGCGCCCCCACGGTGTCGTTCCACAGCGTCGAGACCACGTTGTAGATGCCCGCTCGCCTGCTCCGTTTGGCATTTTTACAGGGGAGAGAAAAACACAAATGACCTCGGGCATGTGGAGTCTGCGACCTTTGGCACCGGAATGTGACCTCCCTCATTCTTCAGTAGCATCTCAAAGATTTGACCTGTACAAAACCACCTGGGTAAGACCTCTCTCTCTCTAGTTCCAGTGACCTTTGATGACCAGAGCGTGACCTCAGCATTGGAAAGGGGGCACCTTGATCTGGGACATGAGGAAATGACCACTGGCATGGGTTAATGACATGTGAACATGACCTCCGCATCAGGTCTATGTCAATGGAATGACCTCTGTCGGGAAGCGCCATCTAATACAAGTTACAGCAGGAGGACAGCCACTTACCTTTGAGTCGGGATGAAACTCGAGGGTTGTTGAGCAGCTGTGGGGCATGTGCCGTTGTAGGTCTTTGCGTATCCTCTACTTGAAACATTTCTTTAGTAAGAATGTCTTGAGATAGAGAGATAAATGGAATGATAAAGCTTGTTATGCATATGAAATAGTAATTTGTAAATTGTCAGCTGTTAGGATGTAAGTGTTGTACTTGCAATGAGGGAGTGGTGTTTGCAGTGAAACATGAATAGGGGTTGTTGGCCTGATCCACAAGTTATGGGTGTTCCCAAGGCTACAGTACTGGCTCTGTATTTGCAGTTTTTGTTTTGGGGTTTTTGGTAAATATTCTTACAAATACTGTGCTGCTGCATGTATGTCCAGGAGTGTAGGTGGTGTCCCAGGGGAGGGTGTAGTCTGGTGCCTATAGTATTGTACATAGCAGAAAGCTGTCTTTCAGTCTTGGATGCAAATGGTTGGAGTGACAGACTGCATAAAATGTCATCCTTCTTTGACAGTGTGGCTATGTCGTAATTGGCAACAACAAAGCATTTTTCAATCTAAAAAACAAAATAACAGTACAGTTAGTCTGTCAAACTGCTTTCCTTTTCCTCTCTAGGTGTTGTTCAAAGGTCGAAGGCATCTTGAAATGTGGTAACTTAGGTACTTTTTTGTCGTAGCATCAGTGGGTTGAAGTTAGAGTAATGCTGTGAAGAGTGTTTTAGCAAATGAAAGCTGTAGTGTGAAGGTTGTTGCAAACACCATTCAAGCCTTTTCTTTTCTTGATTGATGACTGTTAAAAGCTTGCAGATTGCGATAACACTGTATATTTATCGTTTTTATGCTACCTATCTTATGCCCAAGTGCTAAACAGTTTTGCTTCCCTCTATGTGGGTATCTTTGTAACCAGAAAAGACTGACATCCCGTGTACATATGTTATGTATTTGGCTTCACTTTTTCTTCATACCCAGGCTGCGTGATTATGTTCTTATGTTTTGGCCAGAAGAAACTTGATCACTGCAATATGGTAGCTGCTTGATTTCAGGAATGGATCAAGTGTGATAATGTATTACTATCAGTTATATCATCGGTGCTGTTAGGCAGTTGCCCAGTTAACTAATTGTGATCCAGAAAAAAACAAATAGATATGCTGTAATATAAATGGAAAAAAGGTAAAAGAAAAAATCATGTAGGTGTAGTTTCAATATGAATTAAATATAGCATTAGGTTTGTATTTTCACCGAATAACTGCAAAATATTGGCATTTGCCACTTAAGACTGTGCACAAATACTTGCTTTTTTATATACACAGATACACATTCTTGTTTCGTCCCGTTTAAATCTGTGTTTTTTTCCGGTGGAGATCGACTCTGCACTGTATATAACATTTTTTCTCGTCTTGTAACAAGTCAGCATTCCTTCAGGAGTACACTTAACTTTTGCCACAGACCTTTTGGTCGGCGTGTACAAATTAGACAAGTGAATTTGAGTGGTTTGTTACCAACAAGCAAAAGCTTAACAGACCTCACTGGGGTTGGTTGGAGTTGTGTGAGAATAACATCAGATAACCTCCTCCACTAAGCCCACCCCTTTTACTGGCCAGAAAATTAGAGGTCATCTTTGCATTTTAACAGATAAAAACACCAAATCAGTTGCCATAGGTTAGTCTCAGTAGAACAACCCACGTGGAACAAACCGCTTTGGAAGGTTGCCGCCTGTTGGGGACCCCATTCGAATCCCTCCTAGGAGCCTATCCAACAAGATCAGGCTGACAGTCTAGCTTTACATTTCTGTACAATTCTGCCTCCTATTTTTTGTCGGCTATGGACAGGGTGTCATTTTTTACATTTACATGGACAACACAGTTTGGATTCCACAGTTTTCCGTGATGGCAAAAAGAGGGAGCATGTTGATTTTTGTCTTTTTCATGTTGAACAAAAATGTCTACTACATGTACGTGTCGCATAGAGACAGTGCATGCTTGACCTGGTTCAAGAAGTAAGTGTTGTTTTATCACAAGCAGTCAGGCTCAGAAAGTGCCCGGCTACCCGCCCTGAGTTGAAGTGCATCCCCAAGCGGCAAACGAAAGACAGGTGGTAGAAAGTTTTCCAAGTGGGTTCTCACACGTGTTCTGCATGTATGCAAAGACCATAAATTAGGGAATAAATTCTCTATGTGTACTCGGCGTGCTCCGTATCAAATGCGCCATTGATCTCCATTATGAACGTACGTCTATGCGGTGAGCACCAAAAGAAAAACGCCCTCTTTTGTTCCGCTGGGAGTGGATAGGACCGTTTTTGTAAATGAAAAACTTCTGCCACGTTGTCCTGCGCTGTACTCTCTGGGTGTCCGGCAAAGATGAGAGCAGTGTCAGGCGTATATCTTGAAGGGGTTAGGGGCGGCAAACTACACGTGGCTAGCCTCGTGGATACATTTGTGTGCATTGCACATGCAACTTTTCTGCCAGCTCAGCATCTCCTTCTTGTATCACAACACAGTGCCAAACTGGAACAGCTTTGTAACTCATTTTCCTCATTGAAGTTTACACTGGCTGCTTATCTACAGCAGGCCATTGGAAAGGTTTTCAGCCATGACACCCTACATTTTGCAAAATAACATCTATCACAAAACCTTGTGAAAACATCATCAATACAAATCATTATTCACTTGGTCTAAAATATGTTAATCTGTGAGATCTTGGACTATAAGTGCTGCTGCCAGCAATTTTAAACAGTTTTGAAGTTCACTGGTATAAACTAACATTTTGAGTATGATGTACAGATTAAAAACGGTGGTTTTGACTGTAACTATTTATACATCCAAGTAAAAAAAAGTTATACGTAGGTTTTTGATTTTACTGATTAAAGGAGGTAGCTTTGGTGTGAAGAACATTTTCAAATGTATGTACATATTATTGAAAGGGGTTGCTGGGTTGTCACAGCAACCTGCATTTCTTCCTGGCAGTTGCCAGTTGTTTTAGGGTATGTTTCAATTTGAACATGGAAAAGAAAAAAAGATGCTTGTACTATTATAAATAATGTAAATGTATATTAAAATATGGCGCATTGAACTTATAGGCAACAAGGTGTTTGGTCCTTTACTAACAGTCAGCACGCAGTTGTTTGAATTGACAGATTTGAGCCAGAGTTGAAAAAAGAAATTGTCAGTTTAGTTTTTAAAACTGTATTTAGAAAAGTAGGATGGTGCATTTCCATTGTGTGTATTTCAGACGAGCGTCCTTTACATTTCTTTTGTAGTGCTTGTTATCTTTGGTTCTGCCCCATTTTTATGTCTTCAACATTATGATCACAGACCTTTGACATCAGAATATTAATGTCATGGCCAAAAGTAACTTGTTTCAGTTGGTACTCCGTGGTGCAGTATCTGGCATTTTCCTGATTAACATAAATTCAGATTCGGAGGATTAATCACTCAATTGTGATGAAGAAGCATTGTGTGACAATCATATGGAGAAAAAAAATCTGTGTTGCACTGAAGTACATTGTAATTTAGTTTTGATGGTGTTGCTTGAGTTTTAGTTACAAAAAAATCCAAGTACTTGGTTAGACTTTTTGTTGTGTCAAAACTGTTCCACTGTAATGTGGCATGTAATGCACAAAGCAAAGTATTTGTAATAGTTCATACATGCCAACCAATGTCACCATTTGTTTAAATATTCATGAGATTACTCACATGGGCTTATAATCTACCTCTGAAACCGTTAGGTTTCCACACTCACAAAAAAAGAAATTTCAGTTCCCACCCTTTCTCTTGCTTGCATGCAAAATGCAGTAAGCTCACTTTTGCTCTAGTGTACGTAGATTACAGCATGTGTAAATTAAAAAAAAAAAAAAAGGAGGAAAAATGTCGGAGTGATGGATTTCATTGTGGCAGATTGTAAAATAAATGAATCATTCGAATTCCCGATGCAATTGATGTCTTGTCTGTGGTGTGGTAGGGAAGTTGTACTAATTTCTCTTTAGTGTGATGCACATCTGAACATTTTGAATTCAGCAGTCAGAATAAAAGCGTTAAGCTCTTGCACAGAAAGGTTGGTTGCTGATTAGATGAGCTAGTTTCTTGTTTTTTTATTTCTCATTTTGCTGTTGTATTTTTATTCCTTCAGTTGTTCACGTATCCTATGAGGTGTATTTATTTGTACCTTATATATGTTTGATTATCCTTTGTTATTTTTCTATGATTGTTTTGTAATTTCTATACATAGCCAAAGTTTAAGTGTGATTTAAAGTTTTTGCAATTAAAAATACCCTGAACTTAGATTTTACTTTAGATTTTACTTTGTTTTGGAATTCCAATGTTTAATGAATACATATTGCAGTTGTTAAAATGATTCATATACGCCTTTGGATTGCGATTTTTTTGTGTGGGTGGGTGGGTGTGTGTTTGTTATCCTATGTCTCTGACTGCCATCCTGTTGTGTGTCTCGGGGTACCCGCGTGAGATCTACGTTTTTCAGGTTGACTTTTAGGTGAAAAATAGTGTGGAAATTCCTTTATTTTTGTGAAGTGAAGAAAATTTCCAAGAAAATGCTAAGTTTTCTCTCACTGGGAACACTCTTATTGACTGAATTTGTGCGGTTTCCATAACTGTTCGTCATTATTTAACAGAATAACCCTAAAATGGCCCCCTTTTTTTCGAACAAGGAAAAATTTGTTTTGAGGTGGCTTCGTCCACACAATGTTCACACAGGTTTCACTTGTGCGGACCTGTTTTGTTCTGTGGTCCACACATTGCTAGCATAGCAAGGTTTGTACAATATCGTGGATCGTTTTGAGCACTTCTGCATTTGAACGGCACAACCTCCTATGACCACGTCCACCCCAATTTCTAGAAAGCTTATGTTTTGTAGTTTTTGGTACCTGATCTCCACTTGAGTCCCCTCTCCACCCAGCTGGACTCAATTAACATCTACGTCACTGTCCACTGTCTTCCTCTGTTGTAGCGTTTTATTCAAGTTGCAATTTAAAATTTTAAGGAAAGTCTGAAAAATTAAGAGAAAGGTGATCACGGTCCGATCATGCCATTTTAGTCTTTTTGTTCTTATTCAGTGTGATCTTACATTCTCTTTCTTGTTAGGCATTGTTAAGTTACGTGGTTTTTTTTATTCAAGACATTGCCATAACTAATCTTCGGTACTGAAGTGCTATGTATAGTTTTTATACTACCCATTTTGACGTCACTACTGGAGAGCGTTTCCGCAGCTGTCTCTGCAACGTAGACGCGTGCAGAAAAATTACGGCACGCGACCGTTCATGCGGGTGTGGCACAATTGTCAGAACTTGCACTGGTACCTCGTCGTCAGTGGGGGTTTACAGTGGCACTTCCTAGGCGGAGATCAATGCCCGGGCTGCCTCACCGCTGGTTGGTTAAATGATACTAAACCGAACATGAGACCATCTCTCACTCTTGCCGCGCCAAAACGCCGTCCTTGTATAAAATGGACGGTAACTAATACTAAATACGCCGCTGTCATGTCATAGACGGCGGAGGGTCTCGATACATTGCAAACAGCATCTTGCATAAAAACCAGAGATTGCTCTAAGTTGGGTAACCCCAGTATTGAGGAAAGTTTTTCGTTGGCGCCGTCTGAATTTTTTTCTAGGGAGGAGCAAAATGACAAAGTTTACGAGATGAAAGGGTCAATTCCCCCTTTTCATGCCATCCCTCTCCATTTTTTTCATTTCTTTCACTCTCTCATCTCTTTCCCCATATTTTGTTCATTTTTTGAGGGGGGGGCCGAGGGGACGATATGTCAGTTACATGTACTTTGCATTGTACAATTACAAGCCCGTGGGATTTTTCCCAAACAGTTGTTTGCATATTGGATTTGCCATTACTTGGGCTTCATGAGTGCACATTGATGATGATGTTTGCTGATTATATTAGCCTAATTATCTTTTAATGCCTCATTAGGTCTTTTGACGGTTTTGCCCTTTTGTGGCGTCAGTCTTGGGGACATTCTCACAAAATTCCCCATATGTGTTAAAGTTGCGTATCAAAATTTTAGAATGTTCTCTAAAAGTGTTGATCTTTATGGAGATGAAAAATTGAACTTGTCGAAGAAAACAAAGTTGGCGCTTTTAGGGACTATAGAATGAAACTCCGCTGATGAGTACATTGTTGGAATTAAAACCATTCTGATTTTTGACCAAAATTGTGGATGCCCAATTTTCTGTTTATTTTGACTTCTGTAGTTTCGCCTGTGGAGGGTATACCGCGAGTGCAAAATTATTTTTTCACACATCACGCTGGGGAAAACCGAGTTGAATAAAGGCTATAATCGTGGCTCTGGAGGATTTTTTTCAAAGGGATCCCGGGTAGGGCCCGAGAACCGACACGTGGGCAATAGCTCGAGGTAGCCGCTTCCAAAAGTTTTTTTTTCTTCACTGATGACAGTGGTAGCCAGTGGTACGGTGTGCCTCCGGGCCAAGTGCTCCTAGTAGAATGTCCGTCCACCAACCGAAATCTTGAAATTAATACGTTTGGGTACATGACACGATTCTGTTGTTCTCGTTTCCCCTTTTGGAATACTGAGTGCACCCACAGTGCACCCACGGGTCTCCCCCCCTCAAGTTTACCCGCTAATTTTTCACTACTGGATAGCGCCTTGAGAAACCACCTGTATGTATACCCTTCTCCCCCACCGTGCTTATAGTGAAGGGGGATCTGGGGAGGGGGGGGGGGTTTCGGCCGTCCCCTATCCCCACCCCTTTGGCCCCACTCCTAAAATGAGGGAAGGGGAAGAAGTCTTAGGAATGAACTTCGGAGAGAGGATTATAACGCCCACGTGCATGTATTCGGCCTGTGAACTAATAATGACCCCCTTGCAGTGTCAGAAGCTTCCCCTGTCGACCCCTTCCCCATACACACACCTGTGAACAACCTCAACAGTTAGTTGTAACACTCAGTTCTGCTTGGTGACGTAAGTGGAGTTGGAATCAGGCCCACAACTTCCCCACAAGGGCGCGGCAGTAATTTTATGCCAACTCAGTGCGAAGTAAACATCCCCTCTTTCCTCTTCATTCCTTTCTGACACAGGAATATCCCCCACCAAGTGTGGATTTATCCGATAAATCGAACGCCTTCATGTAGATGGTGGTCGGTGATGAAGATGGTGGAAAGGAAACATAAACCAAAGATGATGTGGGTGGTATAATAATTGTGCGCAGTTGTAATACAGTAATGATAATCCCTATCATTATACAAGCCTCATACGTGTCCCCTGGCGTCACGGGAGGGGGATGTCAGTTTTGTCGGCAAAATTACTTTGTGGTGCCTTGTAAAGCAAGATGGGGAAGGGGAACGCAGGGTGGGGAGGTCTCGTTAGCGTCCAGTTAGAGAAAAAAGGCTACCAGGTGGCTCATGAAAACCGCTGATAATTTTCGCAATGGCACCCTCAGGCTCTCCCCTTTTCAAATAGTCTAGCGACGCCCACAATTCTCGCCCACACAATTCTCTCGAAACTTCGCAAAACTGGAACACAAAAGGAACACATCATCTCTATTTTGTGCATAACTGGTACTTTTTGTCCTATTGAATTTGAACGTTAAAATGAAAACCAGCGAAGGTTCTGTCATCATGGCTTTCCCACAGTGCTTTGCGGTCTGCAACATTTTTGCTTCTTCCGGTTCTTCGTTTTCTGACGGTGAGTGTAAAGTGCTGTTCTCCTTTTTACTCGCAATATATTCTACTTTACTCAGTAGAACCTGGTGGGAGTATAAAGAAAAGTTCATTTTGGTATTTTAAATTGATTTTGGTATCTTTTGAGTTTTTCTTTGTTCCACAATATTTGGCTGTGCGTTGCTGGAACTAAGCCAAAAATTGAAAAAAGGCTTTGTGTGCCGTGCGCCATCACGTGAGAGCGCACTGAAGGCAAAATTCATGGAATTCTGGTTGAAAGTTGAATTTTCTGCCTTAAAAGAGATTTGAATGTGCCATTTTTCTTTCCATGGCTCTTCAATAGAATGTTGTAGGAAAAGCTGAAGGTAAAATGTGTTCTCTTACCGCCAAAGGGTCACCTTTGTATTGCTAGTTCTTTTGCCCAGTTTCCGGACAGTGATCCGGATCTGTCTGGCTTGTCCTCTTTGGAAAGTTTACAAATTGAGTCCTTTTTGATTATCAGATTTTGTTGAACGTTGGGAAGAGTTCCATATACGTATGCCAGTAAATATTCCCTACAGTGACCCATTAGCCATCAGAAAGGAAAAATATATCCAGAAAAGTTCAATTTATGAGGGAAAATACGAAGTCATTTAAACCTACATCATTACACAAATTTACAGGCGAGTCTCAACTCTCATAGGGTTTGTGCACGGGGTGTCAAATGGCGTCTGTATATGGAATTCTTTCTGAATGGGGAATCAAAATTTTGTTGATTTCCCTTTTGTGTGCTGGGTAGGCTATTTGATTGAGTACTTGAATTTAAAAAAAAGCCTGTTATGGTGACCATGTCCATCATGACATAACATGTTCATGTACACTCACTGACAGCACTATAGGCTTAGCCCCACTAGTGTGGCACGGACTGTCGCTACCGGACTGAGCGATAAGATACAAAATGTACCAATGGGCTTTTCCAAAACTTGGGCAGCAGTTTAGATATGTCCTGACATGGAGCAGCCGTTGAGACGATGATCAATAATCTTATTTTAAAGATGGCGACTGTGAGAGCGAGCCCGTTAGATTGAATGGATAAAGGCAAAAAGAGTGGAAAATACCTGAATAACATGAGTGAAATCATTCAATAAATGGTTTTAGAAAGCGGAAAGGTCAAGGATCATTTCGGTGTGCAAATGAAATTACGCCCACGATGACAAGTGGGTGCGCCAAAAGTTTTCAGTACGCTGACACGAAATTGCGTATACAGATTTGTGGCTAAGGATGGAACGTTAGCGAGAATCCGTGTCACACTAGTGGGGCTATAGTAGGCCCTATTATAATGGAACCGTGGAAGGGAAAAAGTGGCAATGTTGTCTCCGTTTTCCTTCCCACGATGCCTTTCTACCATTGTGCATAATCACCCATGCTGTATTAGCGATAAGGCACACAAGGTCTACAGTCCATAAGCCTTATCGCAAGTACTACATGGATGGCCATGATTTTGCACAACATTAGAAAGGCATTGTGGGAAGGAAAACGGAGACAACATTGCCACTTTTCCCATTTTCCTTCTCACAGTACCCTTCTATCGTGCAAAATTAGTTGTGTGCTATTTGCAATAAGGCTTATGGGAATTACACACCATAAACCGGTAGGGCCCACAGATGCCACTGAGGTCCCCCCCCCCTCAAAAAAAAGCTCTGCTTCTGATTACTTTGCTCTCAAAGATATGGCCGATTAGTCATTTTTTCTGATTGGGTAGGGACGAAAGCTACCAAAAATTGTCTCTTAAAGTGATAAAAATTCCTTTAACTGCCCAAAACCTACCATACTCCAACAGCAGGTTTTGTGAGGTTTTGGCAGGTTTGGTACTGTACCTGAGGAATTTGTTGTTGAATTTTGTGAGACTTGGGATGGAAGGCCCAGGGAGATGGTGTTGGATTCTGTGTGAGTTGAGACACACATGGGTCACTGTGTGCAGTGTCTGGCTTGCTGTACCAGTTGTTGGACTATGTTTGATTTTGTCAGGTTTGGTACTATTCAGTGCAAGTCATCCTATACTGCATAGACCCATCCATACCATATCACTCAAACTCCAACGGCCTCATTCTGTTGGAGTTAATCAGGTTTGGTACAGTAACCTGCATGTACAAGTACCTAGACAAGTACATGCACCTGTTGGATTTGGTGAGGTTCAGTATGCTTTCTAGTGCAGGAGCCTAGGAGGTTAGGGTTAATGAATGTAAAAATATATAAAGTTATCAATTTTTTAAGAATCATGGACAGTCCACACCACAACGGGCAATGCTAGAGTCTTATAATGACAGGAAATTGGCAAATCGGAAAGTTTGTCGAAAAACACTGGCTTCAAGTACAAGCATGGTACGAACGAAACAGTAAATTCATGAGCTCAAAAAATACATATATGGAGACAAGAAATTAAAATCTAGAATATTGTTTATCTCGAAACACACAGTATTCACAGGGCTGAAAGTTCATGAGGTTTGTTTATAGGCACCTTCTTTAGATTTTTAACATGAAACACAAATGATAGACTTCCTTAAATTTGTTGGTATTTTTCTTTCCCCAAAGGAACATAATGCACAAGTGATGGACTGTACCATACCTTAAATTTGCTACCATATAGAAGTGTGTTGTTTTGGTGCGTTTAGTTTGGAAGAGTTACTAAATTTTCTGTTTTAAGCCATGTCCACTTGTCCATGCAATCATGAAGTTAGTAAAGCTAACTGACGACCAAGTTACACGGAAGAACTTTTGAAAAACTTTTGTTTACGAATTGTGGGTAAGTATGGTGTCAGTAATAGCATGACTAATTTGAATTTTGGAATGAGGAAACAATCCACATTTTTCTTCAGAAATCTGAAAATCTTCAGTAAATTGGCTTGGCTTCCTTGTAAACTTTGTTCTTTATACATTTGTTTTCATTGCATTGTGTGGCAGATGCCACCAATCACCATATTTTTGTACTGTTTCCTCCTGCCTTCCCTCTAACATGGCAGATGTCATCGAGACCTCGAGAAGATTTGGATAGCCTGTCTCCAGCCAGCAAGAAACTTCGACTTGACCCCGAGTCACAGGTGCTAGCGGAACAGTCCAACAACTCGGTAGCTTCACTAGAGAGGGTGAGCAGTCATGAGGACATCCCTCCCTCACAGCTAATGAACCCCAACACTCAAATCCTTCAAAATTCACCGTTAGAGTTGGGAGCTTTTGAATTGTATATGTATGTTGATTGGTTGCATACGGGAAATCAGACAAAAATGCCATGTGCTTCTGTAATTTTAATACTTTTAAAAATTTTATCATTATTGTTAGTATTTTGGTTGTGTCTGCTTTCAGAATTTAGATTAATATGAATTTTATCCTCTCATTTCCAGGGAGCCATGGCTAGGAATGGGACTGATGGCATTGATGAGAGCTTGTATTCCAGGCAGCTGTAAGTCTGTCAGATTGGAGTTAACAACCCCCCCATGCAATCCTTTTACAGGAAGAAAGCTCAGTTGTACACATTCAGTTGAAAATGTAGTGTGCTTTTTCAGTGTAAACGGTGCATGTGAATGAAATGTTTTTATATGATGTCTTCTTAGACTTTCATGTATGTGCCACACAAAGTTACGTATAGCACTAACACAGATAACATCAGTGCTGGTATTCAGTAACAGGTGAGACACAAAACGATCTGACTGAATAGTGTTTTGAAAGATATATTTTCAGTTCAGCTGAATTTTCAAATTTTGTGGAATGAACAACTGAAGACTGTGAGTGGGTTCACTTTAAATCGGATCCCAGTTAAACATGAAAACTGGCTGCAAGAAGACTTGAAGTCTCCTCTCAACAATGAAATCTTACTCGTGTCATGATTTTTGAAACACGTTCTGTTTGTTAACCCCTTCCGGCCGGGATTCTTTTGACCGTGACTGCTGGGCAGTGGTATGCCCAGTATGCAAAGCTCTGTCCAGCAGCAGTCTCTTATTGAAAGCGCAGCTGCATGATAAATAGAATATATGTGTGGTATGCACTAATCCTCACACAAAGCCGCGGCTATCTACAGTTCCCGGATTGAAGGGGTTAAAGAGTATTTTTGTTGTTACATATGCACCATTTTTGCCTATTTACAGTTATGTGCTGGGTCATGATGCCATGAAGCGTATGAATCGTTCGGATGTCCTCATCTCAGGAATGACTGGGCTTGGCGTCGAGATTGCCAAAAATGTTGTTCTTGGAGGCGTGAAATCTGTCACTATCCATGACGAGGGAAATGTCGCAATCGAGAACCTGGCATCACAGGTACAGTACCATTCACTGCTCGGTCGGTTGTGTTTTCCCTTTTATGTTCTTTTCAGTAGAATACTTGAGGATCCCAGCTGAACCAGCTAATGATGTGAACTTGGTTTTAAAAACCGTGGCAACTTGTTAGCCTCTTCACTTGATAAAAGTACCCCACTCTGTCACAGAGAGCTTTGAAGTTCACTGTACCTACAACATTTGTCATTTTTAATTGTGTTCATTTCAGCAGTTGGAACCTGAGGATGACCAGAGCATCCTGGTTGAAACATCCGATTTCCACTCACCGGTTCTGCTCAAAACCACCGCACTTCTAGTGGAGATCAACTCCACGTGGTGGGCCCGCAAACTTCTGAAAGTCTACCCTCCACCGTGCAGTTCCAAATCTTATCAGTTAAAGCCTGATGAATTTTGTTTTAGCTGCCCCGAATGATAAGAGGGCTCATCTTTTGTAGGACTCGGAACAAGGGTGCTGTGAATATTGATGTTACTTTCAAAGTAAGTCAGCGGATGTTTATGGAATGTTTGTGACAAGCAAGTTATTCCCATCTATGCTTGCAGTTTTTCTTCACGGAGGCAGACATTGGCAAGAATCGAGCGTTGGTGACTGAGCCCAAGTTGGCCGAGCTGAACACTTACGTACCAGTCAAAGCAGAAACCAAACCTCTTACCGAGGAACTCATCAGCAAATTCACCGTGAGTATTCGTAACAGAAAGATTACAGTAACGGTGCAGCCAAGGTTAAGATTTGTTCGCGATAGCTGAGGGCACATGCGAGAATTGAAAGAATAAAACCGATGTCAAATCGCTTTCCTCGTCTCTAAAACAAAATTGTCTTGGCCACTGCTAGTGGATTTAATATTACTGTAGACATGCGAAGACATAGAAAGTATGAGTGTAATTGGAAAAAAATTGCACTGACTTATTTGCAAAATCCTGTAGGGCTGTGCCGGATAGCTGAATATTCAATCGATTATCAACTATTCAAATATTATTTTCCAACTTTGAATATTCGAATGCAAAATTCATGAAAAGGAAGGGAGAATTTTCTCTTGTTTTAAATGAGAAAAATTGCACTTTGGAGGCTTGTTTCACACAGATTCAAATGAAAGCAGCAAATCTTACGACGACTCAAAAAGTAAATTATTCAGTACCCCTAACAGTCCCAAATCCTCTGATTTCAATATGACTATAGGGTTGAAAAATTTAAAAGGAATTGAAATTTTCAACAGGGCAAGAAGTATTGTTCGTCTCTTAAATCTTGCTAAATTGTGGCTGGTGATACTCCTAGATGTGAGAAGCTATTATAGTGATAATAATGTGCAATTGTGTGTGTTATTGCAACTGATTTTGTATATGTCTTAATCATCAACAATCTGCCGGTCGATAAGACCGGATATTTGGATATTCGATCAAATTGAAAGTTGAATACTCGAATAGCGAATTATTCTAATTAACTCAGCCCTAAAATCCTGTGAACTTGTGACAGCAGTGTTGCATTTTTGCATTCCAACTTATTGCAGTCTACAATGTACTTTTTCAACTTTATTTATTACATAAAAATTGTAACTTTAGGGCAGGTGCATTGTCCATTGGCAATGCAGTATGCTAAAAACGATGATGTTGATACGACTGTCAATGATCTGTTGGAAAACTGTGAGTCCCTACTTCTCCAATAAACGGCATTCTGTAACAAAAATCACATTTGGATTGTTCTGACCCATTTTTCTCAAAATGTTAGATTTGTAACATGGTGAATTTCTGATACCGTGAGAAGGATGCAGACGATGCAAGAATGCCGTCAAAAATCATTGAATGCCTCTGTTTATTTGGCCATTTTGTGCCTGGTTGTCATCAGCAGTGGTACTCGGCAGGGGTGAGCGTCTCATCAACTGTGTTCACCCATAGCGAGGAAAGGGTTGAACAGGTCTCAAAAAGTTAGCTTTTTTTCATTCGCTGTCACGTACCTATTCCGGACACCTGTTCAATGCACATGTCATTTTGACCCATTGCGCCACAGGTGGTTGTGCTGACCAACAGCAGCCTGGATGCCCAGCTCAAGATTGGGGACTTCTGCCACTCCAGAGGGATTCACCTGATCGTGGTCGATACCAGGGGCCTGTTTGGACAGATCTTCTGCGACTTTGGCGAGGATTTCACTGTGATTGACACCAACGGGGAGGAGCCTCTCAGTGTTATGATTGCAGCCATTAGCAAGGTAGGTTTGGCTGGTGTTTGACCTTGGGTCGGGATTAGACAAGGTGTGTGGACGAGCAGGTGTGGTCCAACCGACCATGAATATTTTTATTTCCTTTCCACTCAGGATGAGGATTCGGTAGTGACTTGCCTGGATGAGAGCCGTCACGGCTTTGAATCAGGAGATTACGTCAGCTTCACAGAAATCCAGGTAGGACTGACCTTGTCGCATATTACCTGATAAGCCCAATCAGAGGTGCGCATTTGGCTTGGATCAACCAGATGTATTGTTTACTAGTGGACCAGAAATAAAGGAAAAAACCAAATGTATTAGTGATAGTTGTAAATTTTAATTGAAATTGAGTTTTCACATTTTCTCCTCACAACCAAATGGCACTTAAGTAGCTTTATTCTTTGCAAATACGCTGACTGATGTTTTAAGAGTACCAGGTTTGAATTAATATTGCAGTAATTTGGGACCCAGCCGCCAGCAAGTTGGCATAATTGTTAAAGTTCTCTGTGTGCCTCTGCAGTTAAGTCCTCCAGAATTGAAGTTTTAATCCTTGCCATGGAAAATAATGCCGTCTTCCCTCCTGAGTTAAAAAGTTTACCACCATATTACACACCCCCAACCAGCACAGCAACTGCCGTTGAGTAGCAGGTGAAGCATTACTTGTTGTGCATCCCTGCAGGGTATGACCGAACTGAACGACAGCGAGCCCAGGAAGGTGAAGGTCCTGGGCCCGTACACCTTCAGCATCGGCGACACCACAGGGTTGTCGGACTACGTCCGGGGCGGCGTCGCCAGACAGGTCAAGATGCCCGCCAAAGTCAGCTTTGTGAGTATCTTTATGTTCTGGCTTTGTGTTCCCCAAAGAATGAAGTACCCAACACCGTCCCCCTCCCAGTAAAAAAGAGCACCTTGTCAGAAGTTAGGGTTAGAATTTATGCATAATTTGAAAAATGTTTAGAGGACTTCCCACACCGTTTGAATGCTTAAATGTGTGAAAGGTCCCACCCTTACCACGGTGTCATTGATAACTTTAAACACAGCAAATTGTATACCATGACAGTTGACCCAAACTTCCGTTGATGAATTCATGGTATTCCTTTAGTATGACCGAGCAGTAACGTGTTCTGAAAATCAGACTAAATTGCACAGACATTGTTTACAATAAAAATGAACTCCAGACTGCGTCAATCCAAACGTTTAAACGTGTAAATGTCCTACCGTTCGTGACAAAGACTGATTGACCAATGGATGTGTTCAACCGTTCATACATTCTACTGGGCATTCTGTCAAATCTGGTTCAAATGTCCTAAAGCAGACGTTACTCGAGTCCTTCAAATGACAGCTGTAGATTGCGGATCTTATTCCAGGCCATGCTGTACCATTGCCGTCCTGCACAGTGTTTGACGCCTTAGAAATTACAGTGCAATATCCAACAGCAAAATGGCATTTTTATTCTCAACTCGTGTGATGACAACCACACAAATGACGAATTATCGATTTGAAAAAAACCAATCAGGGTCTCTAAAAAGTTGCTTCTGGCACCGGGGAACAGTAATGGCTACAAATGGACAATTGGGGTTACCAAATCCAAAAGAGGACTTCACAGTTTAAAAAGGTATTGAATTCTGTAACTAGCATGGTACAGTCTTCCAAATCATTCTATTGTCTGCCATACTGCAGGGGGGGGCATTCATTTGCTAGGCACGAGGCTCCTCTGAAACTGGCTAGTGAACCAGAGAAGCGAGGGCTAACCAAGTGTTTTGAAGATTCTTCTTCAAACAGGACCATGGAAAAATCAATTTGAAACTCTGTTCCTCACCAGAAATCCCTCCGCCAGTCCCTGGCCGAACCAGAGCACGTCATGACCGACTTTGCCAAGTTTGACCGGCCGGGGCAGCTGCATATAGGATGGCAGGCATTGCACAAGTTTGAGAAGGACTGCGGCACTCTACCTCGGCCTAGAAACAAGGTAAATGCTGATTCTTGTTCACTCCACTCTGCCGAGGTGTTTTTTCAAGGAAGCCTTGTGTCAAGTGGAACATGGTGCATTTTTCAAACAACAGTTGTCGAACTAACAGTCCATTCGGCGCGACAAGATTCAACAGGTCAACTCTTCCAGAGCAGAGCAGACTCAGAATTTGAGCCTGCCAGGGTCCAACAGCTATGCTGCTTTAAGTAAGATTGGCACCTAATATCTTTACAGCAGCAGATAGTGCTGTGGACTGCCTAACCGTAATCCACCACAGCTTTGGGGCGGTCATGTTTCATTCAGCAAGGTGCCAAGTGACTGTTCACCTTAGGCACCTGACGGGGCCCAGGTTATGTCATTACTTTGGGGACACCTGTCGTCTGAAGACAGGGAGACTGATTTGCATAGTGCAAAACCCTTATCCTAAACTTTCAATTGACGTGCTGTGGATTTATTTTGCCCCACCAGGACGATGCAGCGAAATTGATAGCAATGGCCAAAGAGATCAACACCCAGGCACTCCAGGCCGCCAAGCAAGAGGAGCTGGACGAGAAGCTGCTGGGCCATTTTGCCAGCAATGCCACTGGGGATCTTAACCCCATGCAGGCCTTTATTGGGGGAATCACCGCTCAAGAGATCATGAAGGTATGGAAAGGTCAAGGGTCAGCAAAAGGGAGCTCTTAGCTCAGAGCTCCCTTTTGCTGACCCTCAGTCACTCGACTGTTGCACTTGCTAGACCTGCTGAACGTGGTAAACACCTCC